GTAGAAGCAGCGGCAGCAGCAGCAGCAGCAGCAGGAGTAGTAGTAGTAGCAGTAGTAGTAGTAGTAGTAGTAGAAGTAGTAGTAGTACCTAGTAGTAGTAGTAGTAGTAGTAGTAGCAGTAGTAGTAGTAGCAGTAGTAGGGGTAGTGGTAGCAGTAGTAGTAGTAGTAGTAGTAGTAGTAGCAGCAGTAATAGTAGTAGTAGTAGTAGCAGCAGCAGCAGTAGTAGCAGAAGTAAACGTAGTAATAGTATTAGTAGTAGTCGTCGTCGTAGTAGAAACAGTGGTAGTGGCAATAGTCATGGTAAGAGTAACAGCAATCGTGATGGTTATAGTGATAGTTACAATAGTAGTCATGATATGCTTATTATTATGAATGGTACTAGTGATTGTAATTGTAGTAGCAGCAGGAGTGGTAAGAGTCATCCTGGTGGTGGTGGTCGTGGTCGTGGTCGTGTTCCGCTCGTGCTAGAGGTGGTGGTAGGTGCCGCAAATAGCAGGCGTCGGCGCATACTCGACAAACATGACAAACCAGTGATAGTTTCCAGTAAGCTTTTCGTTGGCAAATAGCTCAAAAACCACACAGTTAAAGAACCCTAAACCCTAAACCCTAGAACTCGTGAAATCGAAGCATCAACCATAAACCCGAAACCCCGGATCGCCTGAGCTCTTGACCCCAAAAATGTCCCACATCCCATAGCACCCAAACGGATCTCCCAAGCAGGAGGAGCGCGATGAGAAGTTTAGGGTTTAGGGTTTAGGGTTTAGGCTTTAGGCTTTAGGCTTTAGGCTGTAGGGGAAATCCTCACCCAACTTGGGAAGGCCTCTCTCTGCAGAAGAAGCAGACCGTCAGAGTGCAAGGCACCTCGGGGCCGCGAGTCAACAACAGGGGTCTCATTTTTTGAAGCAGGGCTCCTTGGGTTTAGGGTTGAGGGTTTAGGGTTCAAGGTTTAGGGCTTAGGGTTTAGGGTTCAGGGCTCCTTGGGTTTGTTACAACTATCCCGGGACGATACAGGGATACTGTTTCAATTTTGTCCGATCCTTCTGCTAGGGCTGCTGGGGCGTTGTCCAGGGTCTTCTAGGTGGTCGCTGTGGGCAAAAAAGCAAGACTACCCCTCAGCTTAGACATATACCTGAAAACGATTACATCTTTGGGCTTGCTGAAAGATGAAACCCTAAACCCTAAACCCTGAACCCTAAACCCTAAACCCAAACCCCCAGCCTAGAAGCCTAGATAGAATCCTAAAACACTGAAACCCGAAAACCAAACCACCACACTCATCAAACTGGAAACCCTCCGCTTGCCTGTGCAACATAGCCGTGGATAAGACACGCAATATACAGGCCCTGGAAACGAAAAAGAGAAAATATGACGTTAATTCCCTGCACCCTAAAAACCCTGAAGGTTCTGGGAGGGGATGCCTCTGACGTAAAGCTTCCGTGCAGCTCCCACAAGGTTCTGCCGGGCCCCTGTGCAGGCGGTTTGGGGGGGGGAGGGGGGTCAGTGCGGGCTATTTGGGGCTTGTGAGGCGTTCGTTCCTTCACCGCCTCTTTTGTTTCAGACGGTTTAGGGTTAATTACTAAGATTTAGGGGTTTAGGGCTTAAGCAAGCAGAGGGCGATCAGAGCATCTGCAACTTATTCAGACAAGGGGGGGCTTTTGCTGGAAACCCTAAACCCGTTTCAACCCTAACGGCCCTAACATCTAAGCCCTAAGACCAAGCCCCAAGCCCCATAGTTTAGGGTTTAGGGTTTAGGGTTTAGGGTTTAGGGTTTAGGGTTTAGGGTTTAGGGTTTAGGGTTTAGGGTTTAGGGTTTAGGTGGCCATGGCTTCAAGGAGTTCAGGCTTTGGGCCGCGAATCCCCAACTAACCAATGCAGGGCCTGAGATACTTCGACGTGGCATACGACACTGCGATGTCCTCATTTCAAAGAACGTCTTGGCTGTTCAGCCGGTTACCCTAAACCCTAAACGGATACCTCAACCCTAAACTTAAGCCCCCAACCCTAAACTGAAGGCCCCAAACCCGTTCGTAAACCGTAAACTGAAACCCTACACCCCGAAACTGCAGCCCAAACCATAGGTTCAAACTAAAGCCCAAACTCCAAGGCCAACTATGAGAACCTTGATAAGCATAACAAACATAATGAACATGGAAATAGAGCAATAGAGCAATAATAATAATAATAATAACAATAACAATAACAATAATAAAAATAATAATAATAATAAGCATGATAAATGATGGTACGTCCTCCGACCGTGCCCAGAGCCACCGCGGCCTTGTGAAGCTCAAAAGAATGGGGCTGCCAGGCCATCTGCACTTTCACCTTCGCCGGGATTAGGGCTTGAGGTTCAGGGTTTAAGGATTTAGGGTTTAGGGTTTAGGGTTTAGGGTTTAGGGATTTAAGGTCGAGCTCAGGGTGCGGGGCCCTAAGCCCTAAACCCTGGGTGTTTCGGGTCGAGGACTGAAGGTTCGCGGTTTGCGGGACTAGGGTGACTAGGGCGAACCTCTCTCTCGTCTGCTAGTGAATTCAGCTGCCGTCGTGGGCAAGGACCAGTTTTCGTGACAAAACAATGCACAAAACATCCCTGAACCCCAAACGCCACAAACGCTGAACCTCAAAACCTTAAACCCCAAACCTTAAACTCGCTTCGAGTTTTGGCTCTAGGCTGAACCTTCGGAACCTCTTTGTCCCTTGATTAAGTAACCCGAACCTCCATGCCCTAAAACCCTACGACACCAAAACCCTGAAACACCGATGGTTTAGGGTTTAGGGCTTAGGGTTCACGCCTGGCCAGTCTCGCACTTTTGTGCCACCCGCGCGGCGGCATTGACAGCCGCCATGCCGTGCCTTCGAGGAAACTAGGGTTTAGGGTTTAGGGTTTAGTGTTTAGGCCTTAGCGTTCCTCTGAAGGGTTACGGGTTCCTTCAAGGGCTTTTGAGTTTAGAGTTACTTCACGTCAAACTTTACGTGTTGCTATCAGGTTTTCTAGAAGCTGTAACGGCTCAACTGCGCTTTGCGCTGCAAACATCATCAAGAACAACAGCAAAAATACACACACACACACACAAATACACGCGCACACGCACCCCCCACCACCACCACCACCACCACCACCACCACCACCACCACCACCACCAATACAACAACGACAACAACAACAACAACAACAACAACAGAAGTACAACAGGAGCTGTGGTCCCTTGGCTTGGCAACAAGACAATCAAAGTGAGAACTAGTGGGACTGAATCGTCATAAACAACATGTTCATTATGAGGATCCACCGTCGCAACCCATCCCACCCTCACCTCCCTAGCTTAGGGCTCATTCCTTACCGCAGCTAGGCAAAGGAATCCCAAGCCCTTAAGCTTAGACCCGAAACTCCCAAAACCTAAATCCTAAATGAAGCCCCCGACCCCTAACCCCATTTCAGCATAGCCTGTCATTTCGGAGGCTCCCTGTGTGCGTGATGGCCACCACCTCGGAGGGGCAGGAAACCGAGGCAGAACAGCTTCCTGGTAGAGCCAGCTGATACTTCTAGAGTTTGGGGCTTTCACCTTAACAAGGGCTTAGAGGCTTTCAGTTTTAGGGGTGTTTGGCAACGCCGCAACACCAAGCGACCTGCCTCCTTCGTTTCCGATACCGAGCCACCGTAAGGTGGAATTGATGCCCTGTACATACTCCAGCGCGCAGCACTACTGGCTCCCACACAACCTCTAGAGCCCGAAGCCCTGAAGCACAACCCCACACCCACAGACAGAAGTAGTCTGTACAAAACTTAGTCTTCTTCTTCAGGGTAATCATCTTCCTCTTCACCAACATCTTCATCCTCATAGGAACAACAATAGCCGTTATGAGGCTGGATGCTGAGAACTATGACGAGAAAGGTGGGAATGACCAAAATGGCAAGCGCGATGAAACGGTCATAACAATAATGTAGTAGTAGCAGTAGCAGCAGTAGTAGCAGCAGCAGAGGTAGTAGCAGCAGCAG